GGTTTCCAACTTATTTAGGCCAAGGACCCCCTATTACATACTGTATGGAAATTAATTTAACATTTCACTTCTGGCCTATATAATAACATAACAGAACTAATCTTTCTAGAAATTGTTGAATTTACATACCTTATGAGACTTACACCCCAAAGCTAGTACAATTGTCAAATTATTGATATACAGTCATTTATTATACTAAATTAAATTGTATTGTAATTAACATTAATTAGAATAATAAGTTATTAAGTTCATGTAATTTACTTAACACATCAAGATTTTCTGTAATATTTTGTTTTTATTTATTCAGCAAGGATGCATTAAAGTGAATAGAATAGAATAGACTAGAATAGAATGATTTCTGGAGGATCATGTGACACTGAAAATTAAAGTAATGGCTGCTGAAAAATGTCATCACAGGAATACAATTTTATTTTAAAATGCATTAAAACAGAAAATACTTATTTTAAATTGTAATAATATTTCACAGTTTTTTGTTTTGTTTTGTTTTGACTATATGTTTGGTCAAATAAATGCATCCCTGGTGAGCATGTAATAGACTTCCTTAAAAACATTACGGTATTATGTGAAATTATTATATTAATTGAAAAAGGTAAATGATTATATTAGTATTATATAAGTTTATTAATTTATTATATTAAAATTACATTATATTAAGTCAAAAGTGGGATTTGAACCTATACGCCTCCTTTCTGAGTCAAAATTTGATTAAGATGCAAGAGGGAGAATTAAATATTTACCCAATTTCAGTTTCAGCAGAAGTTAAACTATTACATGTTGTTTAACCTTAAATAAATAAATAGTTCAAACAATAACTGGCGGATACCCTGCAGCACCACTGTCAGCATTATTATCATAAAAGTACCCTTATAAAAGATTAAATGAAGAAGAAGAAATAAGAGTTAATTTTCTTTACACAAAAATATACTTTAATTTTTATGACTGAGAAATGCTTAGTATAGGCTACACTGTAAAAAATAAGTGTAATTTTAACTGTAAAATTTTGTAAAAACGCTATTACCAGATATTTCATGTCATTTTACAGTAAAATGCTGTTAATTTTAAAAGTATCAGTTTTTAAAAGTAAAAATAACAAATCAATGTATAATTTACAGTCAAAAACTGTAAACTGATATTCCCAGAATTCCCTGCATGACACTCCACATTTGAAAGTATTTTGTTTAAATAATCATGTTTTTTTAATAGTTTTTGTTATTAGTTATGTATATTTGGGCTTTATGTTACATCTTCTGTTGTTTAATGAAAGTTGAATGCATTATTTAAGCATCATGTGTGTTACCATGATGGTGTTTTGTGTTTGCATGAATGACTGTGCACCTTCGATATATTAGTATATACTTCTGCTTGTGGCGAAGCTACTTGTGATGAGCTTTGATTCTTCATGTGGCTTTCTCTTTTACCACCTGCATTATTATGGTGGTTGTCAGTATGTTAAAGGTACAGTTGTATACTGTAAAATTTACAGTTTTTGGACGCAAATGTGTTTACAGTTTTTCTGTATTTTTTACAAAATTATTCTGGCAACCACAGCTGCCAAAATTATTTAGTAAAAACTACAGAATTTTTATTACAGTGTATATGCTTACGAATGTGGTTGAAGAATGCTTTTAAGTACAGTGGATTCAATCCAATTAGCTCAATAAAGAAGGTATAAACAGAGGAGACGCAACTTTGGGCCAAAGCTTCTCCTCAAAATATACAGTAAGTGAGACAGGGCTTAGAGTCAGAATGAACAGCCCTGTGGGTTCCATGAATTGCTGCAATTTTTGGCTGAATCAAAGCTTGGAATGGTTTTGTTGGACTGCATTGAACAAGTACAGAAGCTGCTTTCCTTCCTACAGGTTTCAGAATCCCTTAATGAACATTGTCTGCATTTGTCATACCAACAAAGCCTTCATGATGAGAAAACAAAATAAAACTAAAATTATCTAAAGCCATGCTAATTTTTATGTGGCTATATTATATAAATGTATACAACACCGCTTTGTAATTTAGGTCAAGGTGGGGCTACATGAATTGTGCCACAGATCTGTGTGCCTTTAGTTCTGTTACTAAAGGCATACAGAGAGAGCACAAAAGAACTGCACAAGCAGCTTTACAAAAATACATATGGTTTAAGTGCAATTTATGACTATTCCTTAGAATATTGAGGAATTTGACATTGCATCACTCCCTCACCAATGGATCCTCTGCAGTCAGAATGAGAGTCCAAACAGCTGATAAAAACATCACAATAATCACAAATAATATTTTGGCCAAGATATCAACTATTTGAAAATCTAAATTCTGAGGATGCAAAAAAATCTAAATATTGAGAAAATCGTCTTTAACGCTGTTAATATACAAAAAATTAAGTTTTGATATATTAACGGTAGTAAATTTACACAATATCTTCATGGAACATGATCTTTACTTAATATCCTAATGACTTATGGCATAAAAGAAAAATCGATAATTTTGACCCACACAATGTATTTTTGGCTATTGCTACAAATATACTCATGCTGCTTAAGACTGGTTTTGTGGTCCAGGGTCACATATGTGACAATATTTGACATAAACTGATTAAATAATTGAAATTGTGAGTTTTAGTAATGCAACTGTGGAAAATTCTGATCAAAACCACTAGATTGCAACACACAAATTTGGACAGCCGGTTGAACAAGTACAGAAGCTGCTTTCCTTCCTACAGGTTTCAGAATCACTTAATGAACATTGTCTGCATTTGTCATACCAACAAAGCCTTCATGATGAGAAAACAAAATAAAACTAAAATTATCTAAAGCATGCTAATTTTTATGTGGCTGTATTATATAAATGTATACAACACCGCTTTGTAATTTAGGTCAAGGTGGGGCTACATGAATTGTGCCACAGATCTGTGTGCCTTTAGTTCTGTTACTAAAGGCACACAGAGAGAGCACAAAAGAACTGCACAAGCAGCTTTACAAAAATACATATGGTTTAAGTGCAATTTATGAATATTCCTTAGAATATTGAGGAATTTGACATTGCATCACTCCCTCACCAATGGATCCTCTGCAGTCAGAATGAGAGTCCAAACAGCTGATAAAAACATCTCAATAATCACAAATAATATTTTGGCCAATATATCAACTATTTGAAAATCTAAATTCTGAGGACGCAAAAAAATCTAAATATTGAGAAAATCGTCTTTAACGCTGTTAATATACAAAAAATAAGTTTTGATATATTAACGGAAGTAAATTTACACAATATCTTCATGGAACATGATCTTTACTTAATATCCTAATGACTTTTGGCATAAAAGAAAAATCGATAATTTTGACCCACACAATGTATTTTTGGCTATTGCTACAAATATACCTGTGCTGCTTAAGACTGGTTTTGTGGTCCAGGGTCACATATGTGACAATATTTGACATAAACTGATTAAATAATTGAAATTGTGAGTTTTAGTAATGCAACTGTGGAAAATTCTGATCAAAACCACTAGATTGCAACACACAAATTTGGACAGCCGATGACGTTAGGCTCCATCTGGAAGCTCTTTTATTTCCTATTCCACACATGTAAGACATTTTGTTGAGATAGTGAAATCATCACAATTAAAAGAACCAAAGACTACTTCAGTCTGTACATTGAATTTATTGAATACATGAGTTTCACAATTTGAGTTGAATTACTGAAATAAATGAACTTTTCCACGACATTCTAATTTATTGAGATGCACCTGTATATGAACTACAAACATTTATCAAATATTAATATTTTATACACATTATTAGTTATTAAACTCAAAACAACTTAGCTGATTGGCATGTCACCATATTCTAATTTGTTGAGATAGTGAAATCATCACAATTAAAAGAACCAAAGACTACTTCAGTCTGTACATTGAATTTATTGAATACATGAGTTTCACAATTTGAGTTGAATTACTGAAATAAATGAACTTTTCCACGACATTCTAATTTATTGAGATGCACCTGTATATGAACTACAAACATTTATCAAATATTAATATTTTATACACATTATTAGTTATTAAACTCAAAACAACTTAATTAATTGCCCGTATGTTTGTGGTGGAAATGATGCCATTGTGGTACAGTCATATTTTTTTCTAAACAAATAATTTTATTCAAATACTGAAGTTGTTGATGCACATATTTAAAATAATAATAATAATAGTTTATGATGGACTTTTTTGTTTTTAAATTTAAAGGGTAAAACAACAAACATACATACTTGGCAATAAAAAAAGAGGTGTTTGCAAATTTACAAGAATGTGAAGCTTCATTGAACCCTGAAGAGGAGAAAGACACCATCTTGTGGATACAAGTGTCATTGCAGCACTGCTTCTTGCCTGCCATGCTAACCTTTAAAGTTCGTCACAGTTGTTCAAACTGCCACGAAGTCAGATCTGTGTAATGTATTTCACCGGAGAAAGTTAGTTTTAGTACGACTTGTAAGCACGTGGCCTAACTGTTGTAGTTATTAACAGTTACTAACAATTACGCCATTTCTACTGCAATAAGCCTAACAAGTCCTCTTCAAACACAATCTATACTTACTTTATCACAAAATAACTTTTAAGACAAACATCAAGCGTCTTTTCAGCAAGTGTCTCTTTTAAAATAATAAATTAGTGTAAATCTAATTTACCCTGCGGTACCTAGTCTGTCCTGTAGAGGGCAATGTATCATAAATAAAAACGCAAATTACCAATAGTTTGTTTCCACTCATTCGACTGGAGTTTAACTCATTCGTGCATATCACAAATCAACGGTAAACTTGTATCTCTTAACATTCTTGCATGTACGTTCTTTTCCCTCAGTCGGGTGAGGTTAATTAAGTGACAGCCGCTGAAAACTGCCTCTGGTCCGTGCTCGCTAATGGCTCGCCTTTACGTGCCTTCAAGTGGAATGAGGCCTGCAATTGAAGACGATTGGGTGCAAAAGAATGGAGACCCGTGATACCTGAGTCGTGACGTTGGAAGGGGCGTGTCTATACCGAAGATGGCGGAAAGCTACCTGCAGTCGATGGTAATAAATACATTCTCAGTTATTTAATTTAATTGTTATATTTAATTAATAGTTATAGTCTACTAATGTAAAGCTAATTCTTTGCTATTTTTTAAAATAAATTATTTAAAATGACTTGTCATAGTAATGTTGAGTAATATAGGTGTAGGCCTATTTATTTATGCCTACTTAACAGAAAAAAAGTGCCTATTTTGTTTCAGCATTTAATTAAATTGCTTGAGGTCAATGGATCTCTAGCAGCGTTAGGAATAGGTACTTTTTGAATAAGAACTTGCTTCACAACTGTTAAAAAAGTATGTAAGTTACTCTAGTATGAATGTTGTCATGTTGTGATTGTTATAAGGCCAACCAGCATCAGTAGAGCCTATTATCTACCATTCAATCATAGGGTAGCGTCCATTGGATGCACACTTCAGAGTCTCTGCGAAAGTAGCAGGTCATCCGGGAAATTTTTGCCTACAGTTTTATGAATTCTGTGAATTCGGATGTACTACTGTGTTGTTGTTTTTGGTTGCAGCCTCTTAGTTGTTTGTTACTAGTGAGTGTCCCACTGTATCAAGCTGCAGATCACTTTCTGCACAACCGTTTGTAGTCTTCGCATCATGTTGGTTGCAAAGCAAAGTTGTATTTACAAGTGGGAAAGTCTGCATTCTAGATGATAGGCTACACAAATTGACGAGTTGTGACGTTGTAAGGGCTTGTTAATTTGAAACATGCATGGCAGAAACACGGATACCATACTATATCCATCATTTATATATAGAGATCCAGGAAAGCAAGTCTGTAGTGAAGTTAATCACTAAACTTCACAGTTTGCTTTAACAAAAACGCATTTAGTTGTGGTGGCATATACAATTTAAGGTATAGATATGAATCATTTTCATCATTTTGAATTCAGATGTAGTTATTTGGTTTATTGTTCACAATTTTTATATTCTATCGGTGTTCGACCTATACCGTGGACTTTGGGGGAGCCCACTTGTTTTTTTTTATAACGGGGTTCGTGCGCTTGCGTGTGCCTCAAAAGGGGGCTTACAATGAATTACAAAGATACATAACAGCTACAAGTGTATGCACTACTTGCTTTATGCAAGCACTATATAGGATAAATCACTATACAGGATTTACCCTATTATACTTTATCGACACGAATTGATAGGTGAAACAACAAACAGCCACCCACAAATAGTCTATAAACAAAGCATCAGGCTGTCTTTGAGTTCACATGAACAACGGTTAAAGTTACTCGTCCTCAGGCTACAGAAGAATACCATAATTCCTCCGTTCAATTAGGCCTAAGACATCAAGAGTCACGCAGACCTATAACAACCCAGCCACAACACATAATTGCGAATAACATGCCTTACCTTAACACAGAATCGACCACAGAGTCCAGCGTTTATATTTTTCTACGAATCTTTGAGTTAACATGTAATAAGCATGAGTGGAATTTGTACCGCAGCACCCCCACACCTTGATGCTCATGACAAGAATAGCATGTATAGTTATCTTAATTGAAGTGGATTAGATTTAAATCGCCGTCATGCATGAATGAATGATATTTTTGCAATTTTACACATAATAATCCACGATGATCACATTACACAAAACTGAAATTGCACGTCAAAATAACACCTTGTTAATATTTTTTGAGACCCCCCCCCCAATTTCCCAAATCACGTTTTCAGGGGAGCCCATGTCTTATTAAGGGGAGCCGAGCTCCCCCTAGCTCCCCCGTAGTTTGCACCCTGCTTGATATGTTTCCAACTTACATGTGTAATGTCCTAAAAATGAATGCCCAACTATGAGGTAAAAGCTTCCGAAATTCACTTGAAGGCAACAATAAAACCTGACTGAGACTCGAGTGACCATGTTCGTTTAACCCATACCCTTTCAACGTGGTGGAGAAGAGAACCATTTCAGTTGGGAATGGTAGATAATTTATTATTTTATTTTTATTTTTTCGAAGTAAAGCTTCCTTGTTAGTCGATGCTGTTTCTGTCAGATACATATGTCTGTAACCATTTAACCATGTTGCATAATGTGTGTATCTTGTCAAAGACAAGATGTCCCATTTTTGGTGTCCGCATCAAATTAATTTACAAAAGTTATTTTATACAAAATATGGGTGAATTAATATTTCATCGCCATTCAGCTTAACAGATCTAATCTAAGAATCTAATGATTCTTGTTCTGAATATACCTGACAATTTTTTTAGAATATGAACTATTGGTAAACAGAACACATTAAGGGGACACATTAAGCTGTATTACATTTTTATTGTTTTTTGTTTAAACAGAACACATTCTAATGTACAGGAAAAAATAAAGCTGTATTTAATTAATTAATTTATTTGTCTTTGACCCATGTGTTGGAGATAAAATGCATTATCATTCACCATGTTTTGTTCTCTCCAACCACAAAGCATTCAAACGTAGCGTACACATAATTATAACTTGAGAAGGGACAAATACGATCTTTTGACAAGCATGACTGGCATGTCCAACATTCCCATTCATAATTATAGTATTAGTGAGCACGAATGTGTAGTTTCCAAATTGTCAATTCATATTTACGATAACTCTACCACACATAAAGGCATCATTTGGAAAAAGTAACATAATGGTGAGAAAAAATGTAAGTGCGAGTTAGACTTTTTGTATTTAGCTTTTCGATTTTTTCAGATAAAACATATGAGCTGTGGTGTTTTGAGTGGTTGCCATGCAGTGCATTTCAATGCAATAGCTAAAGTGTTCAACTCTTTTCTGCCATGTTGAAAGATTAAGGCTTTTCCCAACTCTGTAACTCGGGTATCAAAATTACGTGTACTTCACAGGCTACTGGAATTATCACAAACACAAATTGCTGTGACTTGACAGTTCAAATTGTAACTATGACTTGAGACTAATGTGCTCTTCAAGTGGAGATGGAAATATTGTAATTATGAGATCCGAGGACACATGAATGACCAAGCAAATTGGGAAACTCAGAATTCTACATGATACACAAGTTACCAAATTGTGATGTTGGAAAGTGTAGGACAGTACAAGTATATGGCTTCTGTTTTTGCACATGCACAGCTCATCGCCATGAAGCTAAGGTGTTGTGATTGGTTGCCAAGACATTGTCATGCGATTGCTAAAGTGTTCTCAGTGGTAGCATGTTGCTGCACAGTTGCTAGGGTATCATGGGTGGTTGATATGGCTTTGCTAGAGTATTCTGGGTGGTTCCTTAGAGCCCACCTCCAAATATCAGAATCACCTGCACTGCAGCGCACACATAACACAGTGAGATCTTGTGTAGTTCATAATTTATTAGGTTATGTTATGTGAGATCATATTGGGGATAACAGCCCTGCCGTGCTTGTCTTTAACAGGTAGTCCTCTGCACACTGTACAGTGCTCCTTCATTCTCTATCTCTCAACATCTATTATTGGTAGTCGCATGCAGTAGCGGGAGTGCAGATGGAAGGTCATTGTTTTCAATTACAGATTGCATCTTCGATATCCAGTATCAAATTGTTTATCATGATCATGTTTGCTGGCAGAAGAAAAGGAACTATATGGTTGACAAGCTTTACTAGCAAGCTTGGACAAATGTTACCTTACTATACAAAGGCTTGGATCTGTATATATTTTCATTTGTTTTTTTTAGAAGTAGGCTATTAGCACACTTAAAGACACAGTTCACCCAAAAATGTCGCTCCAAACCTGTATGACTTTTTATGTTCTGTGGAACATAAAATAAAATATTTGTGACCCTGTCTGTGAAATCCAGGCTAAAGTCTCAAAATCGAATTATGAGATAACCAGCGTCAAAGTTTGATTTCAACCATTAATTTCACTATGATTTCAATCTTTGGCATGGCCTTACTCAGTCCATATTAAAGATATAATGGTTATATTTTCATTTAATGTTCTACATTTTTATGAAGGATGATTTTATGTAGAAAACAGTAAATCACAAAAAAAAGACTTTAGCTGGGTTTTCACAGGCAGGGTCACATTTTGTGATATCTCAGTGTTTTTTGTTCATACAATGGGGCAAGATGCCCCCTGGGACAAGATGACCCTGATACCTTTTTTTTTCTCTTGACCATTGATGGCACAAAATTGTATCCCAGCACATTTGATGAACAGCTGTGATCTCATTCATTTTGTAATTTCATCTGAATATGATAATTTGTAGTCATTCGAAATGGTTTTGGGATTAATTGATTTTATTTTGTGTCTACTATTCATTAAACTATTAATTAAAACCAATAGGCTAGTTGATTTAGTATTGTATATTAAAATACGAAATTCCAATTTAATACATCTATCTATCTATCTGTCTATCTGTCTATCTGTCTGTCTGTCTGTCTCTCTGTCTGTCTATCATCATCCTGTACATACTATGTAAATATGTTAAAAATGTTAATTAAAGTTAAGGCATATTGTTTTTAAGGAGGACATCTTCCATCTACAGACTTAATGCAGAAGACTTCAAAATTATTTAAAGTTTTGATTTTGTTGTTCAAATTAAAACCCTCCTCCTTGTTACTTAGCACAGATTTATCTGTCAAGAGTATGATGAAATCTTGTGACAGCTGTGTAGTTGAGATGGACTTAGATAAATAGGTTCATTTCTGCCCTCATCAGTATGTAGGCTGGTTAAGGTTTTCTTGTGCTATTAATTTTATGCCATTAAATCCATCTCTTTAAAAAAAAAAATGGGGAAATTTTTTTTTTCTCTCGCTCTCTCACACAGCGCTAGCCTTTGCTCTGCTTCTTTTTCTCTGTCTCCCCCTCCCTCTCGCTGTCCCTCTTTCTTCTCTTTCTTTCTCTCTGGCTGCTTTTCATTCCTGTTTCTCTTTTCATTGTTTTTTTTCCCTCGGTTTTCTTTAGCTCTTTGGGACCTCTATTTCTTCTCTTCCTCTATTCAGGTTTCCTTTATTCTCTTTTCTGAATAGTTGTGGTACTTAAAGGGAAAGGGGAAAGGGAAGGAGCAGGGGAGGGAG